TTCCTGTAAGATTTGAATGAGATTTGACCTTGTTAAAAACCAAGGTTTATCACACTTGTCATAACAGACTTGCAACTTCCATGTCATAAGCTGCATATCATTAGAGATATGCAAAAAGTATTATGCTGCAATTTACTCAAAGCCTCATCAACACAGTAAGCACAAGCTAAAGGCAGGATTGGAATACGTCGGCTGCCCTGGGCCTCAAAGAGTGAAGCAGCCTGTAGTAGCTCTCTGGGTACTGCACATACATGAGACACAACTTGAATACTTTATAAAAACCAGGATAATTTTAAATTTATAAGACTGCCACAAAAAAAAGTGGAAGGAAACATTGCAACCTTGAATTTTTCCAGCATCCTGCTATACAAATTATTCTTCTTGGAGCTATTAGTCAGCAAACTGCTCTCTCTGTAATTAAGCTCACTGAAAAGGAGACAAACATTTTCACATTGGTTTCAGTGTAATTTCTCAATCATTCCAAATTCCAAAATCAATTAAAAGTATACCACGGTATCTCCTCAGTTTATTTTGTTCCAGCAGTCCTTTAGCTTTTTTGATCAGTTCTTCTCTGGTTTTTTCCAAGTGCCTTCTGTCTTTCTTCATTTGTTGCAATTGTTCTACCATCTTGTTTTCTAAAGATATTAGAATTATATTTAGCAAGTGTCTGAATACTCTAAGTAGGAAGGATCAATCAAGATTTTTGTAATGCTAATCATGAATCATGCCAAAAGCTCTGTCAGAGCAAGCAGTAGAAATTATTTCATTTTAATAAATTAATCTCTAACTTTTCAAAATGGCTGGCACTTCAGAGAAAGGCAGAAATCCAGTATGCATCCAGGCATTCATACACACACAAACAAGTAAACATCCTTTTATATGTTTAGACAATGTATCGCTAACATTATATAATCAAGATACAGATACACTCCATACATTGAAGACTCTCGCCACATGAAGCCAAAAAAGCCTCCAAAAGACTACTTCCTGCTCAGAATACATTGCAACATAAAGTGTAGTGAAATCTTGCCTTAAACTCCATCTGGTCCTAAGCAGGAAGCATCTCAGACTTTAACTAGTCTGCAACAATAGGTCAAACTCTCACTGTCTTCTCACTATCCTCTTCCTCCTCCACCACAGCAGAGGATCCTCAGCAATACTACTAAGATGTTTTCTTTGCTCCATTCTCACTTGAGCCTGCAGTATTTCATCCCATCTCTCTCCTTTTCTCCTTCCATCCACAACTCCACAAGCTGGATTTTCTAGCACTGGGAAACTGCCATGCTCTAGGACAGCCCATGCAATCATAAATGCCTGGAATTTTCCAATCATAAATTAAAATTCATAATAATACTGTGAATGAATGTATGTACAAATTCTTTTGTAAAGTAGGTATTTGTGTCTTCATTGACTCTTCAGTCTTGATTAAATGTTCACTTCCCTGCAATTTCTTGGAATCATATACTCACTTGCTGCCTGAAGTACAGGAACTTGAGCTGGGTTTACAGAAAGTAAAGGTGGACTAGGAGGTGAAATGTATTCTTTTGGACAAGTAAAATGATTTTGCTTGCTTTCATCTGCCTATAGAGTGAAAAGACAACTATAAGTACATAACCATAATCCTGAATAGTTACTTTAGATATGTCCTGAAAGTGGCCAGAGTGAATGGAAGGGCTGAATTTGAATTCCGCACATAAGCTTTTTTATTCTGTTACCAGTACACAAGATTACTAAATTAAAAACAGCTGGACCTCTGCAAATAAAATAAGAACACTGAACACTTACATAGACTGTTGCTAATTGTTCTTGTCCAGGTCCAGAACCCCACAAGTTACTGATAGTCCCATGCAAAACCAGGAATTAGGGGCCTTAAAACTGCCTTCTGGTTCACTGAAGTCAAAAACTGCCAATTTCTAAACTAAAATTTGTAATCGCAGATTTTCAATTTCATCATTATTTTTGTACGACTCCACTACCATCACTTGTGCACGAGAGCTACAGGCTACAGCTAATATGGCTATTATGTTGTGCACTTGCAGGTGGGTACTGAGTCTTCCTAAATATGTTGTTATTCTGATACTATGACTAATTCATACCTATGTTTTAAATGAATTTATAGTTTTTTATCAGAAGTTTTGCTTGGCGTGAGGGAAAACAAATTTATCCCATATGAAATTATAAAAACATCATCAATATAGTCAGTGAAATATCACTGTCGAGAAATTGTAAAAAAAAGATAAATCATAATATTAATAAGACTGAGATAGTTATTGTATAGGTTCCTGTTAAATTATAAACAGAGTTATAACTTCTGATGATTTATTGTTTGGAAATATAGTTGATATTCACTAACAAATCTGCTAAGTAGCAGTGCATGAATTAACTTTTCTCAATTATTTTCAAATCTACATTTGAGTATTTCATATTTATAAGGAGTTACCTGTCTTATAAAATTAGACTGTTTCTAGGCGGAGGACTATATTTCTTGCTCAAGATTACTAGGAATATGTTACCTTGAAACACCTACCTGATTATCCAGTTTTTCACCAAGATCACCTATAGTCTTCCTAGTACTGTATTGCTGCAAGCTGAAGATAAAATCAAAGAAGTAAGTGAAAATTCATGGAATGAAATGGGTTTTTTCTCATTTTCTTTCATTTATTTGTAGCCTGTAAAAGAAGTTTGTAGCTGTGAATTATTATTATTATCCATTATTTTAGAAGATTCGTTATTTACTAACCTTTGTTTTCTGTGCACATATTCTGTAGTTTGTCTTTCCACTATTTTAAGAATTTCAGCATCCTGTGTTCTGTCTCTTCTTAATTTTGTCTCTTTCTGGTGTTCATTATTTTCCATATTTGTTAATGCTGTGACAGGATAATGATGACAAAAATACGTAGATTAACTCACCAAAATCAAGCTCTTTTGACTATCAATGCCTGGACTTTCCAACCTGTACTGGAAATTCAATGAATCAACACGGCTAATAATCTTATCTCTAGGATTTTGAAATGTTCCATGAATAGCAGAAGAAAGAAATAAAGATTAAAACCCAGGTATTTTTGTTTTAAGAATTTATATCTCACTAATTCTGGTAACTAGTACAAGAAACATCATCACAGATAAAGAAACTACTTCATTATTTCACCTTTCCTAAATTAATTCTGTATCCTACACTTTCTGCCTTTCAGACACTGAAGATCCCTTACAAACTGTAACCAAAGAAAGGGAGAGCAAAATGTTTTGAGTTTAAATGTTAATGAATTAATGTTATCTGCTTTAAAATATATTCAATAAATATTTCAAAAGAAAACTGCTGACAGACCATACTTTTACTACTGCAAAATTCTACATCCTTCATAATTATAAATAAAGTTACGGAAAACTATTCAGTTATACATTTACACATATATATTTGTATATTAAGTCATCCATACTTAATATCAGTTAACAAGATGATGAAGGGACAAAGCTATTTTTGCCAAGTTATGACTGGAAACTGGAATTACTGAAAAGTCATTCACGAAAGCCTTTTCCAATACGCTCTCTCAATGAATATAATATACAATTTGTTGCTTT